GCCTGGTCCGAAGCCCCGCCCCGGTCTGAAGCCCTGCCCTGGTCCGAAGCCCCGCCCCGGTCCATAGCCCCGCCCCAGTCTGAAGCCCTGCATGGTTCGAAGCCCCGCCCCGGACTGAAGTCTCACCTCTGCTTATCTACAGTGGTTTGCTCTGTCGGTTTTGGTGGGGGTCTTTGGGGGGCCTCCTTGATTAGGCTGTTTGCTCCCTTCTGGCACTGATGATGTTCCCTAGTTGGGTCACGAGACGTCTGCAAGAAAAAACAGCCTAGCTCAGAGAGCACAGTCCTTCCTCCTCCTCCTCCTCCTCCTCCTCCTCCTCCTCCCTTCAAACTCCACTTCCTTCTAGCACTGAAGATGTTCCCTAGTTGGGTGATAAGACATCTGCAAGGAAACCACCCAGCTCAGAGACCACCAGGGACCCCACAGTCCCTCCTCCTCCTCCTCGCCCCCCCTTCCCCCTGATGGTCTTCGCTTCCGGGGCCGTCAACGCGGGCGATCTGGGAGAAACCCCCCCCTCCCCGTTTTCGCCGTCGGTCCTCCACCTCCCCGGCTGAGCGTTGCGCGCCCGCTCTTTCCGCCGCAGGTGCCGCTGACCTTCGACGACATGTCAGTCTACTTCAACGAGAAGGAATGGGAGAAGCTGGAAGAGTGGCAGAAGGAGCTGTACAAGAACCTGATGAAGGGCAACCAGCAGTCTCTGATCTCCTTGGGTAAGGGGGACCCGGGGACCACCCCCCTCCCCACGCCGCCCCCCCACGCCAAATCCTCCGGGGAGGCAGCTTCAGCTCCACCTGGGAGGGGGGAGTGGTGGAATTAGCCTCCCTCCCTTTTCCTTCCTTCCTTCCTTCCTTCCTTCCTTCCTTCCTTCCTTCCTTCTTCCCTCCCTCCCTCCTTTTCTCTTTCCTTCCTTCCTTCCATCCATCCATCTTTCTCTTTTTCCTGTTTCCTTCCTTCCTTCTTTCCTTCCATTCTCTTTTTCTTTTCCCCCTTTATTCTTTCTCTTTTTCTTTCTTTCCCTTCCTTCCTCTTTTTTACTCTCCATCCATCCTTCCATCCATCTTTCCCTTTTTCCTCATTGTTTCCTTCCTTCCTTCCTTTCTTTCTTTCTTTCTTTCTTTCTTTCTTTCTTTCTTTCTTTCTTTCTTTCTTTCTTTCT